CCCGCCGGTGCTCCCGGAGGAGCCGCACCGATCCCGGGATGTTCCCGGTGCTCCCGGAGGAGCCGCACCGATCCCGGGATGTTCCCGTCGGGAAACGGGCAGAGGGACGGAGCCGCGGAAATGAAAGATTTCACCCCAAAAAAAAGCGCCCGGAGCGAAGGGCGGGAGCGCCGAGCCCGGTGCCGCCGGTCCCGGGGGGAGGAGGGGACCGGGAGTGCCGCGGGATCCCCGGAGGGATTCCCGGAGCGATCCCGTCCGGTCCAGCGGGGATTTTGGGGGTAAAACCATGGAAAACCATGGAAAAGAGAGGCGGGAGATGAGCGGGGATGGGGAAGGTGCAGCCGCAGACCTCCCCCACCCACCCCTCACCCGCCCTTCCCCRCCGGGGCCGCTCCCGGCACATCCAGGCCCGGGGACGCCGCGGGAAAACGGCGGCTCTGCGGTCACAAATCCCCCAAAATCTCCCCAAAATCCCATCCCTGTCCCCGCTCCCGGGAACAGGCGAACCCCAGCCCCGGGGTGACCTTGCTGGAGGCTCCCCGGGGCCTCTCCCGGTACCGGGAACCCCCCCCGGGGATGCAGCCCGAGGTGTGAACGGCGATCCCGGTGTTCCGTCACCCCCGGTATCCCCAAGGTCACCGGGAATGGGGTTTTCCCCCCGGAGCCGCGGCTTTTGGGAGCCGGGCAGGGAAAGGCTCGGGAAAGCGTCGGGAACGGCTCGGGAACACCGGAGCGGCGGTGCCAGGGCAGGGCCCGCTGCTGCTCCGCCACCCCCGGCACCGAAACCGCCTCCAGCTCCGTCTGCGGCGCTCCCCGCACCCATTTCTCATCCCCGCACCCATTTCTGATCCCCGCACCCATTTCCCATTTCCCATCCCCATCCCCGCACCCATTTCCCATCCCCGCACCCATTCCTATTCCCGTCCCCGCTGCCGCCGCAGCGCCGAGGCCCCGACAGCGGCTCCCGGTACCGGGAGAGCCCCGGGCAGGCGGCACCGCCCC